AGCTGAGTCACAAGAGAAGGCGCGGTTTACCAGACTTTGTACCACCAGTGCCAGAAGAAACATCCCAACAGAGCTTGCAGTTCACCCGGCAGATAATGCCTCGAGCACAGAGAGAGCATATTACCGTGTCCTCGGAATGTCTACCTTGAGTACTATGTAGGAAGAGGATGGGATAGAGCTTCCTGGAGGATGCGCACGCACTGCTGTCTATCTGCACGGTGTGTATTTCTGTACCGCGTACGCTGGAGGCCCATAAATATTTATATTTAGACCGCTTGGTTATATGAACTAGGATGGCATTAATTTCATACCAGAGCTTATAGAATCTCACTAGTTTTCGCATGTGAGCGGTTATCGTTGATCTAATGGTGGCGTCGCGCTGCATCAGGTCAAGAGTAATGACGAGGAAGCACGGCACCACCGAACAACCCAGAAAACGAAACGTTTGACCATGTACCTAGAAGCAAGGAAGCTTGAGAAAGGTTCTAAGACATTAGGAACCTACTTTAAAGTGCCAGAAACAAGGATCGGAGAGAAAAAGTTGACAGAACGAGCCTAGCAGTCGTCCAGTCCACCCTTTCTTTCCAGTCCTTGTTTTAGGCGCTTCAAAATTGGTTCCTTCTGACACTTGCCAAGAGGGTGCTGCAAGCTGATCAACGCACGGGAATGCTGGATTATGGGAGCTTTGAACTCGACTAGCATTTTCATTGTTCACGAAGAGCCCGAACTCCTCGAAAACGCGCATCTGGCTTCAACGGGTTCTTTGTGCCGAAATGGTTGATCTTGTGCCGAATGAGCACGTAGTTAGCTCTTTCTTTATTCATTGTTGTGCATAAACTAGTTTTATTTAACTTTGTGTACTTCTGCGTGCATGTACATTACGAAGCGCTAACGGGAACGCATGGCTGACAAATGACAATGCCAACGTTTACTGTGCTACTGCTCGACGTCTGTTTGTTTCTTTGGCCGTTCGATTATGCCCTAAAAAAATAAACTTTTTTTTATTTTCGTGAATACAATACGCCTGAAGAAGAGAGAGAGAGAGAAAGAGAAAACGTTTATTAGGTGGTCAAAAAGTGAATGTGGAAGGGTCCCTTATTTCAGGAGCCATCTGGCTTAGACCGCCCCTTGCTGGCCCACGCGACGAGTTGGCGCTGGTCGACGAGGTCCGGCTTGAGATCGCAGCTTCCCACGATTCACTGAGGAGGTTTCGGTCAGCATCTGTAGCTGCTGCTTGTTCGGCTGGGTTACTGCTCTTGCACTGAGGTAAAAGGTGGGCTAGGGTGCCTACCACATTACAGTGTGGGCACACAACATTGGCTTGAAGTGATGCATTAAAACACCATGCGTAAATGTATTGCTTTGAAGGCGCCTGTAGTCCGTGTCTTCATCCATTGAAAGTTTGGGATGTGGGAGAAGGTTGACCTCCGTTGTAGCCAATAGTGTTGCAGCAGTTCGTAGTAGGTGAAAGGGACCGCTTCAGTTTCTTCTGCTGGGGTTCTGGTGTGGGAGGTGTCTCGAATGTCATGTGGGGAAGCCCAGTTGATGCATTCACGTGCCGTGGCATGTGCAGCTTCACTCCCCTTGAGGCCCTCGTGTCCCGGAACCCAGATAATGCAGTTGTGTGGGGGAGGAGTGTCGACGCGTTTCAGAAACTTTATCGCTCTCGTGGAGATCCTTACTTTCCGATAGTTGCGTGCCGCTGTTTGGGAGTCAGTGAAGACCACTATGGGATCCTTGCTCGTTCGGATGGCCGCTGTTATAGTGGCATTTTAGCTGCACCCGCGTGTTTGGCCCAGATGGTCGCTGTCGCTAGGGCCACCCCCTTGTGGTCCTTGACGCAAATCGCGGAGGCGCTACATATCCGGGATGTAGCGCCTGAAGGAGATCCACTTGTAAAGGTTTTGTTTTAAAGCAGCTTTATTTGAACAGGCGTATCCGCTTTCCGGCCGAGACCTCGCTCAAAATGAGCCTCGCAGACACGCAAATCGCGTGCCCACAGGGATCACTCGCTGCTTATAAACATCCGTTCACTGCCATTGCGAGGCTGTATGCGCACGCGTGACAGCTAAACGTTACAAATACTTGTTTTATCTCGTCAGGTGACTGAGATGCTTCAATTGGCAGAAAACACACAAAGCAATATCTGTTCAGGTTTAACCTTCAAAAACCACCATTTATTCTAAAAAATGCCGTAGTTGAGTGCTTCGAAAATTTGATCACCTGAGGTTCTTTAGGTGCACATAAATGTAAGCACACGAGCCTCAAGCCTCTCCATCTCCGTCGAAGCACGGCCACCACGGCCGGAATTTGATCCCGTGACCTGCGGGACAGCAGCCGAGTGCCTTAGCTGCTAGACCACCGCGGTGGGTAACAAGGGTTAGTTCCTAATCGCCTAAATATGTGTTCTTTAAGACAAGATCAAAGACCCATAACGCTGATTCCCGAGCTAAAACTTGCGACTCATTCTACACTCGCTTGTGAGGATGTTACTTTTATCGGCATATATTCATCTTTATCCTGACCTGACATATCGCTGTCACTTCCACCAACCCAAGCAGAATGCTTTGTTTAGCGTCTACGTATAAATGAAAAATCGCCCCTTTTTCTTCTTGAGGCCCTGCTAGCCTTGTACTTCACTTTCATTCGCGGGCACATTAACTACAGTATTGCTTCATGGAATGACACGCTTGACTTCAATTCAACATATCCTAAATAAGGATGTACGCATCATTACTTCTATTTTTGTACAGTCTAATCTATGGCTCCACTTTTACAATATCTTGCCTAGCAATCAGTTGTTACAGCTCAACATAGCCGTCTTATTCCAAAAGTTACTTCATTACAATCCTACGTTCATGCCATATGATCAACAACACACTGAAAACACAAGTACGTACTAATTGCGGAAAAAATCTGCGTTCACTGCAATTTCACTTTGGTATGATTTACCCTCAGCTACTCAATCTCGTGCTTCCCTTGTACTCCCTAAAATTACCTGTGGCATCGCTATCTGAAATAACGCAATATTGGCTGTTGTCCAAGCAATTTTCTTTTCTTCTCACTCGCTCTTCTGCTTGATATGCTTTTTCACGTTTCACTACTCTGAATTTAGTTTTCTTAGCTAATTTGCTTCGATTTTCTTAATTATTGTGCTCACTTGATTTGTTTGCTATTACCGCTTATGCTTATATAATTAAATTAAGTGAAGGTCACACTACAGTTTTTTTACTTTGGAATTCTTGATTGTACATATGTGATGTTCTACTACATTTACTAAGGCAATAAAATGAATTCAAAGTGGAAAAGAAATGAATCCAGAACTGGCTTCTGTGGCGTGTTTCCTTGCAGAGCTCCGGCGTTATCCCACCTTGCACGCAAGAGAGGCGTGCCACATGGAGGTTCCACTCTTCGAGTCCTCACCCTCCGCAGCGCGCGCACGAGGATTACAAATACCAGAGCCTCTTTCATAAAAATGTTTTTGAATGCCAATGCCACGAAGGAAGGAGGATGCTAAAACATACACAGGGAAGAGTTTGTCAATTGTGAGGGAGGCGTAATGTACTCTCTTCCCTTGAGCTGCCGAGAAGGGTATATATCGGACGTTCGGGTCCGAACGGCAGGCTCAGGGAGCACAAACACCGTGCTGAAAAGGCATTCATCTGTACTCTGTCAACCGCTTTTTGGGCTGTGTACGTTAATGAGTAATGACAAGCTGACCCGAGAAGCGCTGGCAGCATACGAAATTTATCGTACGAAAAGAAATAGTGTGAACATGAGCCTTCATGGCGTTATAAAAAAGAAGAATATTGACAGTTGAACAGGTTTATGCAGTAGGCTAGGTGCAATGCGATGATTGTTGTATAGGGCAGGGGAATACGAAGAGACAGACTCACCCGTACACCACGTCCGAGATCGCCAACTTGTAAGACAAAAGCAAACCAAGATTGATTTGCCTGTTGACTAAGCTGATGCCGAGATGATGTTCGTGCTTGTCGGTCTCCTCATTTTTCACCGGGGATGTGAAGCACGCTTGCCTTAGCTCTGAAAAGCCGTAGCTCGAACACATCGAGGAAAACCTAGGCATAGGAAGCGCAACTTGCGCCTGAGTTGTGCACTAGAATAAATACATCTCTTGTGAAACGTTCTGACCAAAAGCAATAATAAAAGCATAAAAGATAAGATTTTATCTTAACAATCATTACGTCTTCAAGTGAAGACTCTTAACGACAAAGCACACTGCCCATTACATCATATTATTAATTCATTCTTTGTGGATGTTCTGCTTGAGTGTTGTCATCGACTTGTTCAGTTTATATACGAATTCGGATCCTTTGTAAATGATGTTTTGTATTTTCCTTTTTGTCGCCGTAAGTGTGACGCTACTAAGATGTAATACAAATTAGCCCGCCAGGTCATTCTCTTGGATAAATGCTCTATGAAAACGATCGTAGCGGACCAGCTTTATGAAAAAAAAAATTGAAACCAAACCATAACTCGCTCACAAGTTACAACTGAAGAAAACTTGGAATATTATCTCGGGTTTTACGTGCAAAAACTACGATTTCAATTTGAGAGTTGCTTTAGTGGAGGGCTCCAGAATTTTCAACCATCTGGTCTTCTTTAATTTGCTCGTTCATGCACAGTACACCTCCAGCGTTTTGACACTTTTGAACTGCGATCTGCGGCGGCCCGCGTTGAACCCGTGATCTTCTGGTCAGCAGTCAAACACTGTAACCTAAATGTACACACGACAGCGGTGTACAGAAAAGGGAAATTGGTTGTAAAAAAGTACTAGCATCTTGGTACGCGCACAACACAAGCGCCGTGTAAGAGCTGTCTACGCATGATCTTCGCGATATTGTTAGCGTGCTTGCCTTTTGCTCTGAAACTAAAGAAGGAAACCACACTTTCTTGCCCTGCAAAATTGAGAAACAGGCTGCGTGTGCTGTAAACTGACGGCGCCCCTTCATTTGCATGCTTCTTTGCTATTTTCGCAGATGAGTCGTCATCTTCGATTGAGAAGCAACGCTACGATGGCTGGTACAACAACCTGGCGCACCAGGACTGGGGAGCCATTGGTGAGTTTCTGGTGCACCTCGCTTTTTCCTTAGTTCCTTGACATCTCTCACTGTTGGGGAATCTACATTTTATGAAAAAATAAGCTGGTTTTCCGCCTTTAAAGCCGTTGGCTACAGAAGTTCCCAGCGCGTATGTTCGTGATATCTGGATGAGAGTGTCGTAAATCCACTAGCAGATATTGTGTTCCTGCTTACTCCCAATTGGCCAGGCATGAAGCATGACGCTCATTACTTTACGCATGACAACGCGTGAAGTCACGTGCGGGCAAGTCCATCGGGCCTATGCAGCCTTTCTCAAACACTTTTGCCAATCACAGCAGCGACTTGGGAGAGGCGGGAGGTGGTCACACAACCACAGAAGGTTTGTAAGGCTGGCCCCAAGTCATGCCACCAGTACAACCTGCTCAAGCGCATTTAAGCAGTTTTTTCCCACTAGCAGGTAGCTGGACATTACTCCAGGCCACGCCAGTAAAGGGAGAATAAGCGCTTCGGTGCAAGGACACACGTCTGGAAGTTGTAGAAAGCCCACTTGGTTAAATTACCCGTTGATGTGTCGTCCAAGCCTTACCCTGGCAAGCGCCACTTTTGTAGGGTAGCACTGCCAGGTAGGCACTCTTTCCGGCTAGCAGGCTATGTCACGGGCATTCCTGTCTGCTTTTTTTATCGCCCAGTCGTTTCCTTGTGTCTGGCTCTATCATGCCTCCAGCCTCTTCCTGACCGGTGGCCTGCTGTGCCTGGTCTCCTCCACTGTGGCTTGGTTCCCGCATTCTCCCTGCTGACACTACCATTCAGCCAAACTTACCTGGCGGCATTGGCAGCCGCTTTCGGTGGTTCGCCCGCCAACTACAGCTTTGGCCCAGGCCCGAGCGTGGTCGCTTCGGCTTCTATACCTGGCTACTTGCCGTTCCTGCTAGACCTCGTCACAGCGGCTTTCGGCGGCTCTCTGCTAGGCGCACTTTGCAGCCATGCCTCGCAAGTTCCCGGCTGCGAATTTTCCTGTCCAGTGTGCTTCAAGTGAGCGGGCTGCTACTCATTGTGCCGTGCTGCTCCGTTCTTTTTGGGCTGCGGACCGCATTACTGGCAGCCAGTTCTCCCTGATGTAGTGAAACTGTTGCATGATCTTCGCCAACCATGGACTTGTGTCAACGGAAGCGACTACCTCTTTCCTCCGTGTTGTGCGGCACCCTTCGATTCTGGCCTTTTTAGAGACATCTTCTTGCTGGACATCGCCGCATTGGCCAATTCCCTTGTACCTGAGCCGACATTATTACTTGGCCTCGGACAGCCTCTTTTACTGGCTGGTCTCAGTCTTTAAGAGGAGGGAATGTGAGAATCGAGCACGCCCTCCCCTTTTGCTCCTCGCTCTCCGGCTTACGCGGTTGCTGACGTGTGCGGTGGGAGCACCTGGAACATGACCACCGTGGTTTTGCTGCCAGGCCCTTTAGTCTGGCACGAGCCGTGCATCGGTTTTTTTCTGCGTGGATACGTGTGTTCAAATTTGCCCAGACAACGCGTCTTTTCATTACGTCACGCTATCACACGTCACAGTGCTTCACCGATCCTCATTGGCTGCCCGTGACAGTCCCTTCCACGGTAGCTTGCGTGCGCCTGGCGCCTGCCGCTGCCGGGCAGATGCATACAGGCCGGCGCGAGAGCTAGATGCGCTACTTTAGCAGGCAGCTTCTCGTCTGCGCTATCGGCTGCAGCTCTTTTTTGTGTTAGCCCTAGCGCCTGCCGGTAAGACACTCGGTTGGTCTTGCGGAGTTCACTGCCGGCCCGCAGGCCCGTGACTGTCGTTCGTTTCGTCGGAAGAGCATCCCACCCTTAATCTCAGAGTCGTGGGTTTGGGCTCCACGAAGGGTGCCAGTTAGGTGGAGATAGGTTTGCTAAAGGCTTATCCTATGATGCGGCCGGGAAGGGACGCGATACTTTTAACTGCCGATGCACACAAAGACGCAACGGCCGGGTTCTTTTACTATCCGGCATGGCGCAGAGATGGCACTCAAGGCAGGTCGCCAACAAACAGGGGTGCATTTACCAAAGATACAGCACAGTGTGGCGGCAATCGCGGGCTTGCGGACCGGCAGAGAAACTCCGCAAGACCGATCGAGTACGCTATCCTGCGGCGCCATGCAAAGGGGAACCACCGAAGCGCGTGAACCAGAAGTCGCCCGCAAACGCAGAACATGACTTTCTCCATTGCAGCACTGCGAGCATCTCCCAAGCGCGCGGGCGCCGAAGAGTAGCGAACCCATGTGAGAAGGTGTTGTCACAGGCGGCCAGTGAGAGGCGAAGCGTGGGGACGTGTATTGCGGAACATGCCAGTGTATCGTTAAAATATCCTTTGTTTTTTCACCAGCACGATGAGGGACGGCGGGAGAAAAAGAATTACAGCGTATCTACGGAGTGAATATTGATTAGGGGGGCGAGGCCTCGGAGGGTTTTATCTGTAAACCTTTAATTCTTCGTCTGTCTGTCTCTCTGTCTGTCCATCCGTTAGTCCGTTCATCCATCCGTCCGTCCATCCATCCGTTCGTCCGTACATCTGTCTGTCTGTTCGACCGGCCAGCCGTCTGTCTGTGTGTCTCTTTGTCCGTCTGGCTGTTTTTCTGTCTGTTCGTCTGTATGTCTCAAGGTGCAAAGCATTGTTGCATTGCGTATTGGGGAGAGGGAGAACACTAGTCTAGCTTGGGTGAGGGCAGGTGTTGTATTGGCTCAAGGGGGGCAAGTGCCCCTTTTGCACCCCCTTTGACGCCCATGCGCTTGGCTTCTTGCCTATCTACGGCACTGCGAACCTTGCTGTATTTGTATTATCCACAGATGTAGTAGTGAATACGTTATACATGCAGAGTTGGTCAGCGTGCATAAGCTACATACGTCCTAGTGGTCTGATGGGTAAAATGCTAAAAGTAAAGGCAAGGTGCTGCTGCTAGCGGGTGAATTTAATGCGGCTTTCAAACCTTAAGCGAAAAGAATGTTGGACACGATAGGGCTGTTGAACAACCATTCACATCAATTGTCGTGCGCCGCGATTGTAATACGAGGGTAATACGAGAGCAGCACGTAACGCGGGCGTCGCACGTCTTATTTTGATTGCTATCCAGCTCAATTCAGTTGGAGACCACAAAACTTTAGCTGCCTAACTCACACACTTAACGAATCAGCCGAACGCGACAAAAAATTTCAATCCTAACTGGCTTGATGGCAATCGGGAGTGAGAAATTAAGTTCATATATGTAAATAGGAAATCAGCGGAAAAGCCGACGAAGTTCTAAATATGTCCCACTGGTTCAACAAGCCAACGCACTTTGTTTCACTATTACATACCAAGAACGTAAACATAAAATCAAGGCTTCTAGGCGTGACCGGAAAAACTCAGTTTTGCTCGTACCTTTATGTATATAGAAAGAAAATATAACGAAAAAACAAAGCAGCGCTATTGCTCTGAAGCGCGAGCACTGCTCCTACGCAGATAGTGACTGCTTTTCTCGCAAGACATTTGACCCCAAGATGGCGTACGTTGGCGCAACTCTGCTACACCAACTTCTACGGCGCAGGTAGTGCGCGGCGCACTTCGATGCGTTTTCGTCGGGTGCGCTGTTATTTTATTCACAATGCAATGATGCTTATTCAACCTGAGAAGTTGCAACGATGTCGCAACAAAAAGTGGCCGTACGGCAAGTCTGGCAAAGGCGCACAGGCTCTCGCGCAATCAGAGCGCGGAATTCTTTGTTTTCTTCCGAAGGCGCATACGTGTTGGTGCGTATGCTCCACTGCAATACCCCCTGGGTGCAGAGTAGCCATCCTGGCGACTCAGGGAGTAGGCGCAATGAGGGGTCGTAGTAGGGTCGTAGTAGGGTCGAGACGGTCGACGCGTCCGGTCTCGCGTCCTCGACGGCGCAAATCTGATTATTGTGTTAGGGGCTCGATGACGTAGTTCACCGGCGAGGTTGCGTCAATGACACGGTATGGACCATGGTACCGGGCCAGAAGTTTAGAAGAAAGGCCAGGAACGTGCGGGGGCACCAAAAGCCACACAAGGGAGCCACTTCCGACCACCAGGCATGTAGTTGCGGCGGTACAGAATGTTATCTCGCATGGAAAAGTGGGCTGCTTGCCGGCGTAGCGCTCTCCTGGAAGGGACAGCAGACGGATCGGTAAGGTAGTCGAGTAACAAGACAAGGTATGGGTTTTTACGCTGCTCCGAAAGCATGTCAGTGGTGTCGAGTGGTGACAAGGTGGTAAAATGGGGTGACAGAGAAGCCACATCTGGTGTTAATGGCGACCGGATAAGTGCATCGGCATCCGCATGCTTGCAACTGGAACGGTATACGACACGGATGTCGTATACCTGCAATCGAAGTGCCCAACGCCCCAGGCGTCCGAACGGGTCTTTCAAGGTGGACAGCCAACATAGAGCGTGCTGGTCTGTGACTACGTCGAAAGGATAGCCGTAAAGGTACGGGCGAAACTTCGTCGACGTCCAGATTATGGCCAAACACTCCTTATATGTCACGGAGTAGTTCAATTCAGTCTTCGTGAGAGCGCAACTTGCATAAGTGACCACGTATTCGGCTTGGCCCGGGTACCTTTCCGTTGTGCCAAAATGGCACCAAGACCAACGCCACTTGCAATTGGTGCGAATTTCTGTGGACACAGTGGGGTCGTAGTAACGAAGAACAGGTGGTGAGGTCAGCAGGTGGCGCAGCTGGTGAAATGTGTGGTCACATGCAGGTGACCATGCAGATATACCTTTGCTGTTGGAAAGCAGACTCGACAGAGGTGCGATGTTGGACGTGAAGTTGCGCACGACGTGACGCAAGTAGGAGCAGAGACGAACGAAGATTTTTAGGGCTTTCAGTGATGTGGGCATTGGGAAGTCATTGACAGCTCGAAGCTTATCGGGGTCTGGAAGAAGACCGTCTTTTGTGATGACTTGTCCCAAGATAGTTAGTTTTCGTGCTGCGAAGTGGCACTTCTTGGTGTTAAGGTGAAGGCCT